GGTGACCCCTGTGAAAGGGTCATTCGACCCCCAAAGGGGTCGTGACCCACAGGTTGAGAACCACTGGACTAGGGCTAGCACGGTGTCTGGCACATACATAGTGGGCAGTGTATTTTGGAAATTTCAATATAAACATGTTCATGGATGAAACAATTACACTTGTGAGTTTAGTTTTGCATGAAAATATATAATCCCACATTAACACTGCTTTTAAAAATTTGCTTTTTCCATTTTCACATCTCACCCAACCCACAGTGTTTTTCACGGTTTTCTTGTGGTCCATGTTTTAATCTTTCCTGGAAGTCTGCTGAAGAATATAAGAAGTGATAAATTTTCTGAGCGGTATAAATGAAGATTTCATTTCTGTGTCATTTGTATTGCTTTTCTTTTGATGTTTTAAAAATCTGTAAAGGATTTTTAAGACAGAATACACACGCAGGTTCTTCTTTTCCCAAGTTTGTCACAATGGTCCTCAAATGGGGAGCCCCAGAACAAAATTGTTAGCAAAACAACTTTGCAGGCCGCTACCCAGACCTGCTGATTCAGACCCTGTCAGGGCCTTCCGATGCTCACTGACTTTGGAGAATGGCTGCTCTATTGTACAGAGTAAGGTTGAACGGTGTAGAGAGTTTTGTCTGCAGCTAACAAAGGTGTGTGCTTTCTTTCTGTGTAGGTTTCATTGGTTAGCTTAACAGCAAACGCTTTGGGGTACTCGGAACTTGGTGCCATCAAGTCCCTGCGGACGCTCCGAGCCCTGCGGCCACTCCGAGCCTTATCGCGGTTTGAAGGAATGCGGGTAGGTCCACATGCTTCCAAATCGGTTGGAATTCTAACCGAAACCAGACCGACACTTTATGCCCTAGTATAAATGGAATGACAAACCCATAGAGAATTTACAAGCATCTTCTACATCCATACAAGTGTACCCAATCAATAATATTTATCAGATATCCATAGTAGTTGGCACTGCTGGAGAGACTCATTTAATCTAATGCCTGAATGATTGTTTCTAAATTAACTAGATTTTCACTCAGTGGAAAAATCTCTCCTCCTGTGAAAGCTGTTCATCTGTATCAAAATAAGTTATGCTCATTCCATTTATACATGTGCAGGAAATCCCACTCACTGTAATTTAAATCCACCAAGCCATCCCTCAGTGTTTCCTCATGAGTCCCTGTAATCTGTTCGCAGTCTTTGTCAAGTCTAGATAACAATCGTTCAGCTTTCAAATTCAGAGCAGGGTGGCTAAAAAGTAGGTCAGCCATAGAACTCGAGCAATCATTTTCCGAGGAGGCACAAAGGAACAAGGAAGAATCTCTACTGACATTTGCCATGCCCTGGGGCATAAGACCTGAGAACAAAATGTCTTCATCATCAAATAAATCATGGTACCCCGTCTTTATAGCTTTATATGTTCAAAGGGAGAACTTGTAGAAAATGAGGCTTCTTGTGGCATTTGAAGAGTGACTTAGGACTATCTCTGGATACTGCAAATCCAAACCAGAAATGCTGCGTGGGTAGATGTAAGCAATTGTTAGCTGGTAGATTCCTTTTCCTTGACCTAGTTGGAATCGTCTTTTTGTTTAGTAATAGGCTAATTAAGCAAAAAGTTTCAAACTTTCAGTACTCCAATGATTTTCATATTTGATATTTGATATCTATACCCATACATGTACACATATGCACACACATAGGAGTAGAAGATTTATGTATGTACATATATATATTTCTTATATTTTACATGTCTACTCCTTGATAATGTTTCTGTTATGTTGTAGGTATATGTGTACATTTAGCTAAATATGTCTTTCAAAATAATTTAAGAATGTACTGACAAGGTTCCTGATGATGCCCTGGTTAATTGAGAAAGCTGAAAGTATCAAGACTATTATGCAAAACCCTTGGTCTCAAGTTTTAAACATTTATGAAAATATAACCTCTCCTAACCAACCTTACAGTTATTCTCTTACCTAAGAAGTCTATTCTGAGAGAGATTTCATAGATTAGGACTTTCAAAGTCAGGAAAATTAAGTGACTTTCCCAAAGGCATACAGTTAATCCATGTTCCTATATGAAAAATGTATGCAATGTTTGCCCGAGAAAGTCCTGGTTTACGCTTCTGAGGATAATTATGATTAGTGCTCCTTTGCACGCTGAAAATTATCCCACGAGTGTTTTCTTTTACTCTCAAAGTTAGGATAGTAAATTGTATATTTTTGTATGGTTTTAAAAAATGTGATGTTCACATGATGAACATCAATGATCATATCAAAATTGATATCCAGAATTATTCCATTCATTTGTAATTATTTCTAGAGTTTGATGAAAATTTGATATGCATACATTCTTACTCCTTAAGAAAATATTGCACAAATATAAAGTTCATGTATGCTCTTCTGTATCATTGCTTTAAAATTCTTGGTTGGAGTTATTACAATTGAATCTCTACTGAACAGATGTAACATCTGATGTTAGTCTTTTTATATTATCTTAGAGTAGGTAAAAGATAAATATTTATTATTGGCCTTTCATTTATTTTTCTTTCTCATTTCTTGGACAGGTGGTTGTAAATGCGCTTTTAGGAGCCATTCCATCCATAATGAATGTACTCCTGGTGTGTCTAATCTTTTGGCTAATATTCAGTATCATGGGCGTGAACCTCTTTGCTGGTAAATTTTACCACTGTATCAACTACACCACTGGAGAGATGTTTGATATAAGCGTTGTCAACAACTACAGTGAGTGTAAAGCCCTTATAGAGAGCAATCAGACTGCCAGGTGGAAAAACGTCAAAGTAAATTTTGATAATGTGGGACTTGGATATCTTTCTCTGCTTCAAGTAGTAAGTAACAGCTTTATTAATCTCTGGGGTACATTGCTAAAATGAAACGACAATTCTTTCTGATAGATATTTGTAATGATTTACTTTTGTCTGTAACAGACCTTACCTCCCAGCAATGCTCCCATTTCTACCAGCAAGCAAAAAACATTACATTTGCCAAATCATAGTAACTTATTTACTTGTGGTTTCTGCTTGAGTCTCTTTTGGTCATCTATCCAATCAAATTCACATTTCCTCCTCCTGCTTTCTCCGTTCCTTCTCCCTAAGATGACTTAAGGAATACTGCAAGTTTTAAAATTAGTAAAGGTGTTTATCGGGGTTGCATCCTGTCACCACAATTATTCAAACTGTATGCTGAGCTAGTGATCAGGGAAGCTGGATGATGTGAAGAAGGAGGAGGCATCAGGATTGGAGGAAGGCTTCTGAACAGCCTGATATACACAGATGGCACTAGCTTACTTGCTGACAGGAAGGAATACCCGAAACACTTGCTGATGATAGAAGATTGTGGCTTACGGTATGGATTGCAGCTCAATATAAAAAAATCAAAATCTGCATAACCATCCCAATAAGCAACATCATGATAAACAGAGAAAAGGTTGAAGCTGTCAAGGATTTCGTCTTGCTTGGATCTATAATCAATGCTCATGGAAAGAGCAGTCAAGAGATCAAACAATGCATTGCACTGGGTAAATCTATTACACGAGAGAAATTTAATGTTGAAAAACAAGGATATTACTTTAAAGAAAGATGACCCCCACCCAAGTCATCGTATTTTCAATTGCCTAAAATGCATGTGAAAGTTGGATATTGAATAAGGAAGCTCAAAGAAACATCAATGCATTTGAATTGTGATACTGGTGAAGATCATTGAAAGTACCACAAACTGCCAGCTTCTCTGAATATTTGCTCAGCATACAGACTGAAAAAGTTTGGTGAGAGGATACAACCCTGATTCACACTTTTCTTGAGTTTTAAACCATATCATAGTCTCTTGTTCCGTTTGCACAGCTGTCTCTTGATCCATGTACCACATGAGCACAATGAAGTGCTGTGGAATTTCCATTCTTCTCAAGGCTGTCCATAGCTTTTTCATGATCAACATCAAATGCCTTGGTATTAAAACACAAATAAGCATCTTTGTATTATTCTTTGCTTTCAGCCAAGATCCATCTGATATCAGCAATGATATCCCTGGTTCTGTGTCTTCTTCAGAATCCAGCCTGAATCTTTGGTAAATCCATTGCTCAGTCTGAATGCTGAGAAACTAATCAAAAAGTTGGATTACAGGAAGAAGAATGCAGCATCAGGATTGGAGGACATTTTATTAACCACCTGCTCTATGCAGCTATCACAACCTTGCTTGCTGAAAGTGAGGAAGACTAGAGGCACTAGCTGATGAAGATCAAGATTTCTGCTTCAGTCAATTTGGGTCATCTGTCCAGCCAAATTCACATTTCCTCCTCCCGTACTCTCCTTTCCTCTCCCTAGATGACTTAGGGAATAGTACAAGTATGGATTACACATCAATGTAAAGAAGACCAAAATACTTACAATTGGGCCAGTAAGTAACATCATGATTGATGGAGCAAAGATTGAAGTTGTGAAGGATTTTATCTTGCTTGGTTCGACAAGCAATGCTCAAGGGTCAGGAGAGTAAAGGAGGCATTGCATTGCATAAAATTGCTGCACAAGCTCACTTGTAAAGCAAAGGTGCTACTTCGAGGACTAAGGTGTGCCTGGCCCAAACCATGGTATTTTCAATTGTTTCATAGGCATGTGAAAGTTGAACATTGAATAAGGAAGACCAAAGTAGAATTGATGCATTTGAATTGTGGTCCTGGCAAAGAATATTGAAAGTACTATAGACTACCAAAAAGACAAACAAGTCTGTCTTGGAAGAAGTTTGGCCAAGGTGCTTCTTACAAGCAAAGATGGAGAAACTTTATCTTACACACTTTGGACATGTTGCTAAGAGAGACCCGTGCCTGGAGGACATCCTGCTTGGTAAACGGGTTAGTCTGAGTGGACTAGAGAAACAAATCCAAGGAGACCCATATATGTAAAAGAAAGGGCTTTATATACAGGAGCAATTGAATATTGAGAAAATATCACAGCCCAGTCCACATTAAGTCCATAAGTCCAATATCAGCCCATATGTCCAGTACCAGTCTTTAAATTCCTCTTCAGACTCATGCAGCACATGCAATGACACTGGATGCAGGAAGATCACACGCCAATGGGTGGAAAGTCTTGTGGATCCAGTAGCAGTAGCAGCATCTTAGAGCTGCATGGATCTCCACATGACTTTAGCTCCAGGGCTCTGGCTGCATTAGTGTAGCTCCACCAGGCTCCTCGTCAGTAATGTCTCACAGGGAGTGAGCATGTGTCCCTCTTCCAATGAGCTATTTTTCTCATTACTGCTTCTAAATGAGGTCATCAAGCTGTGACCTGATTGACAGGCTAAACTCCACCCCTTCACTCTTAAGTCTCAAATTGACAACAGATTATGTAACTACCACAGTCAAGTAGTGGGGGCAGTCAAAAAGAGAAAGGCCCTGAAGGAGATAGTTTGACACCGTGACTGCAACAATGGGCTCAAGCATAAGAACACTTGTGAGATGGGCAGGACAGGACTTTGGTTCTTTATGTTGTGCATCGGGTCCTGAGAACAAACAAGTCTGTCTTGGAGGAAGCGTAGTCATAATGCTCCTTAGAGGCAAGGATGGTAAGACTTTGTCTTACATACTTTTGGCATGTTGTCAGTAGAGACTATTTCCTGGAGAATGACATCATGCTTGGTAACGTAGTGGGGCAGTAATAAAGAAGAAGTTCTTTGACAAGATAGATACACAGTGGCTGAAATGATGGGCTAAAACGTGAGAGCAATTTTGAGAAAGGCACCGACCCGGCAGCGTTTGGCTCTGTTGTACATCAGGCTGATCTGAGTCAGAACTGACTCATCAGCACCTAACTAAACAAGATGATCACTTTGGCATCCTTGAATATTGTCCAAGATTCAGGAGAAGCATATTTGGTCCCCATGTAGTTTGAAATTTTCAAAGATTTATTTTGTGTGGATCCTCAATCAACCCTCATAGAAACAACAATTTTAAAAAATCAAAGGACATAGTGCACTTGGCAAATCTACTGCACAAAAAACCTATCTAACGTGTTGAAGAACAATAACGTCACATTGAGGACTGAAGTGGTCCTTTCCCAAACTGTGATATTCTCAGTCACCTCATATATATGAGAGAGCCAGACAATGAAGAAGAAATCCCAGAGAAGAATTCAAATATGTTTTTGAATTATGTGCTGGAAAAGAATATTAAAAATACCAGGGACTGCCAGAGGAGCAAACAAATCTGTCCTGAAGAAGCACGCTCAAGATGTCCCTCAGATATGAAGGTGACAAGATATCTCTCATATATTGGAAGTGTTATCGGGATGGTCAAGTTCCTGGACAAGGACATCAGGCTTGGGGAGCAAAAAAGGTCAGGGGGAAAGAGGAAGGCTCAATAGAACAGATTGACACCGTTGCTCCAACAATGGGCTCAAACATAAGCACCATTGTCACAACGGCCCAGGACGAGACAATATTTCATTCTGTGCACACGGTTGTTAAAGAGTTGGAACCAATTTAAGGACACCTAACAACAACAACAACAACAACAATGCCAGCATGGGCTGTGTGTATTGTTTTGGGGTTTTCTGCCCTGCATTATGTCTTGCCTGACGTTGGATTTTATGTTGTGGCATGTTATGATGATGTGATGACAAAGTAGTCTACCCAGCATCACATTCTATATTCTCCTACTCTCAGCTGACAGTCTTCTCAGACTAACAACACTTCTGTCCTGCTATCCGATTTCCTTTAAATTGTTCAATAACTGTTGGCTGTTTATCCCAGCAGAAGATAGGGCTAGCTGATTTTGTAAGGTATTCCTTGGACGTGTTTGCCTAGGTCTTTCCTTGCCATTGCCAACTATCTTTCCAAACCCTGATAGAAATTAGGACTGTGCTACAAGGTCTATAGTCTTCTATAGGTAGCCAAGCACAAATCCATTGTTACCAGGATCTTTGTTGAGTTCCCAGTGGTTCCTTCCCACACTTTCTGTGAGTAAAGTAGAGGAGGTAACCCTGGGGTGGTGTTAGGGGGGATGGGGTTGGGGGAGATCAAGAGAGACAGAGAATGGTATCACCCATCCACCTTTCACCACCACTGTTATAAAACACCCCTCATCCTGACTCCAAGGTCAATTCCCATGCTTCTTACCTGCTGGCTGAACCTTTCCCGATAGCAAGATTGTTCCTATGGAAATGAAAATCTTGCTATCAAGACTATTGTGTCTGCTATACATTCATCAAACTCCATTCAGCCCCTCATGTGGCCACATTGTTAAGTTATATCCATATGCCTCCTTAGGGAGTCCATGTAGACCATTTCCAACAATATTTGAATAGACAAAGTTTGTGGGGCTGAGGGACTGAAACACACATACACACACATACACACACACACACAAGATAATTACTTTCAGGATTACAGCTGCCACACAATAGGAAACAAATGTTTAAACAAGATAAACCACAGTTCAATATAATGTTCATTTTCTGATAAGGACACTGTTTCTTCATGTAGTATAATTGCTTCAAAGCAGCATGCTCAACAATACTAAAGAGGTTTTCAAGAACAAACCATTATCAGTGGTGATTGGTGGTAGCACTATTCATTTTAATCCTTTAGAAAAGTATAAATAAAAATAAAGCAGACCAAAATATACAGTGTGCTTTTTAATTTACTCCATGCTGATACTGCTCACATGAAACTCATTAATTACACATTATATACCCACAGGCACATCGGAGTCAAATGTTGACAATTACTTTTATGGTTGTGCTTCTGGATAGTAGACTGTGATTTCAAAATATTTAACAATGTGAGAGAAGATTATAAAGTTGATGCCCTTTCAATAATATACTTGTATTATAAAACATTTCCCTAAAATATTATTAAAAATTAAAAATATTAACTCCAAACATTTGTATATTCCTGTATAGAATGGTGAACTGATCATGTATTTAATTGTATTTCTAGAGTTATATTTTTTAGGGAAAAGTAAACAATATGACTGTTTTACAGGCCACATTTAAAGGATGGATGGATATCATGTATGCAGCTGTAGACTCTCGAAATGTGAGTTTATTTGGAGGAGAAATTGTTTAATCTGATCACATGGATGCTCTATTATTTTAATTAAATGACACTGTCAGTAAAATAAAACTATTGGCACTCATAGAAAACCTATGGATAACAAAAAATAAAATAGTTAATAATACAATTTCTTCCAAAATGTGACGGAAAAATTTTACTTTCTTTGTTGTGAATCTTTTATCTTTTCTAACATCTAGCATGGTCCCTGGAATTTGAAAACCGTCATCAAATTTACTTGCAGGATGGGACATTTTCCTTTTGACACTGCTCGTTCTGTTAGTTTGTGCCTTGAAGGGCCTCGCGGGCAATGTTCTTCATCCCTCAAGATTCCCAATGGATTAGTTGTAAGAGGAAGGGGTGGGGGAAACAAGCCAAAACAAGAAAAAAAAACCCAAAATATTAATAGTTGTCTGTGAGAGATTAAATCATCTACTAGAATCAAGAGTCTTTCACACTCTATCACATCAGTACTGTTGAAAATGTTCTATAAATTCCATTAATTTTTCATTATTTCACAATGAAAGGGGAAGCTACATTTTAACGGCGGGGAGTGGGGGGTAATTTATTTCTATTACCAGAAACTATAAATGAAGCCCCCAACGTTATTTTCCTAGTATCAAGAACTAAGTTTTCTGAATAAAATGAATTCCTGAGTTATTTCTTATTCCCTTTATGAAAAAGATAGAGCTAAAAACCTTGTCTTGGATGAGGGGATGGTAAGAAGAAATTAAAAGATAATGGAAATTTTCCATGAACCTTTTGAACCCCCCTGTTGTCTCTGTAAGTGCTACCAGGAATTCCCAATTATTATGCGTTTATTTTTTTTTGAACAATAGTGATAATTTATTATTTTGGGTCACTAAGCTAGCACGTTGTTTTAGATTGCTTCATAGAACCCTAAACAAGAACTTTCCTGCAGAAATACATTAACTCTGGTTTACCACTGCGGCAAGGAGTCTTGGCAAAGGGCTAGAACGCTGTGTGAACCCTGACTACAAACACTGGAGCCACAGACAGTTTCTGTAGTAGTTTCTCAGCTAGTTAATCACTTCCTTTAAAGTTCTCTCCACCTTCCTAATCAGCACTATAACTGCCTCATTAGTCTATAAAACATATTCTCAGTTTCTTCCTTAATAACTTCACAGACGCTGCCTGTACAGAACTCCTCAACAGTCAAGAACTTTACAAAAGTACTAATAGCCACTACAATTATGAACATTTTTCACTCTTACACTTGTTATTCACCAGGAAAATGCAAATTTAAACCCAATGGTATCCATAGGGGAATGTAGGGAGTGTGGACCTTGGTGAACAATATTGTCGGAACTGTCTAAAATTCTTATGCAGTGTTTCAGCAGGAATTTATTATTAGTTTATGTTTTAAGACCCCGTAGCTAATTAACACAAGGAAACATATATTTACACACTACCTCATGAAATATAGGACATGTTATTGTCATCTTGCTGGCATAAAGGTTGAGTCAGAGAGCAATCTATGAAGGTTTTTAACATAGAACAACGTAATTGTCCTATCTACTCTGAGAAGCAAAAAGCCTACAATGTGCATGTTCTATTATGATCTTTATAAATTAAAATATGTTAGTAATATTAGCATCTATTTAATTGGTAAAATTAGGTTTCATTATTCAGACTTTTCTATGAGTTGTTTCATTTTTGTGAGTCAGTAAATATTCTTGCCCAGCTCAAACATTTTAGGTTTTATGAAATGTTTTTATTCCCAGCAATCTAGCCATGATTGAGAACTGAAAATACAATAATGTTTATTTTATACAACAAATAATTTATCTAACAATAATAATTCCTCATATTTTCAGGTAGAACTGCAGCCCAAGTATGAAGACAATCTGTACATGTACCTTTATTTTGTCATCTTTATCATTTTTGGTTCATTCTTTACTCTGAATCTCTTCATTGGGGTCATCATAGATAACTTCAACCAACAAAAAAAGAAGATAAGTATACTAAAGCTTCATCTTTACTTTGGCATGTGAACTAAACATTTTCCTTTGAGTCCGAAATGCAGTCACTACAAGGGAAGAATATGAAATATAGGATTATTGTGAGAGATTCAGTCAGATACATTATTAGACACTTTCTTCCGATAGCAAGTTTTGATGTTTTAACTACAGAAATGTGGATCATATGACATAATTTATATAGTGGGTGTTTGCATTGTCATAATCGCACACATCAGTAACAGTAAGACGGAGCTTGAGGGCCAGTTTGTACATGACGGCTGGGTGCCGCTGAGTTGACGCTGACTCCCAACAACCCCGTTGGACAGAGTGGGAGCGCCCAGAACATTTCCGACGTTGTTCCGTGAGTGCGTTGTCAAGAGTTTACTCCCGTGGGTTCGAACCACGGAGCTTTCAGTTCGCAGCTGGGTGTTAGGAGAGTAGATGCAGCCAGCAAAGCGCGTGGTTTTAACAAGTTTTGTTTTTATCTCTTTACTTTGGAGGTCAAGACATTTTTATGACAGAAGAGCAGAAGAAATACTACAATGCAATGAAAAAACTCGGTTCAAAGAAACCGCAAAAGCCCATACCTAGACCTGCTGTAAGAATGACACCATTCTTTCATCAACAGTAAAAGCTATGTTATCTCTCACTCTGATGACCAATGTCCTCTAGAAACTAGTCCTTCTGTAAATTTTCAGCACAAAGTGTTTACTTTAATAACATAAAATTTGCATGAAAGTAAGGCAAGACCTGTATCCTAGAGCCTCTGACACACTCTCCACAGACAGACACAAAGGAATAAAACAACATTCAAAAATAAAAATGGCTTATGAGATGAGAACTTAATATCATAAATAAGATAGAGGTCAGTTACTACTTGGAAATAAGGTCCAAATTGATTATGACAAATGTTGCATATATGAGTCATGATACATAACCTTCTAATTTTATTCTTATATAAAGTTGTGAAATGATTTCAGAGTTCCCCATATGATTATCACCCTGTTCTCCCTTATGCCAACATTGTACATAACCACAGATCAGTTTTCAAAACTAAGAAATTAACCATGATATAATCGCTTAGACAAAGTACAGAACTTGAGTAGCAATTTTTTCCACTCGTATTATCTTGCTTGAATTACAATTAATTACAATTAAAACACCTTCACAACTTCATCTCAAGGTGGAATTTAAGATACTGTGCTTTGAGTGGAAATTTTAAAAGGGAGAGGAGATGACAAAAAACACAGGGAGGATTAATTGTATACTAGTTCTTCAGGGTAAATTCTGATGAATAGCCCCCAACACATGAGATAACAAATATTTACTTATTATAGTGGCAAATTCTTATTTACTCTCATACACATTACCATGCTCTGGACACTGAAAAGATAATAGTTTTTTTTTACATAGCCACTTCATAAAATATAACATCATAAATAGTATGGATAAAATGAATACATTAATAAAACAGTTGGGTACTCCAATAGATAAAATTTACTCCAATAACATATAAATATACTGTGTATTTATATATTCCTCTTGTTAATACTCCTATGTTAAAGTCAGAGAAGTTGACTTAAAAATTTTTTTAGTTTCTAAAATAACTTTAATATTCTTTGTTCCAGAACAAATTCCAAGGAATGGTCTTTGATTTCGTAACCAAACAAGTCTTTGATATCAGCATCATGATCCTCATCTGCCTCAACATGGTCACCATGATGGTGGAAACAGATGACCAGAGTCAAGAAATGACCAACATTTTATATTGGATTAATCTGGTGTTTATTGTTTTGTTCACTGGAGAATGTGTGCTGAAGCTCATCTCTCTTCGTTATTACTATTTCACTATTGGGTGGAATATTTTTGACTTTGTGGTGGTCATTCTCTCCATTGTAGGTAAGAAAGGAGTGCTTTTACTTGAATAAGCAAGTTAACGTTGAAACATTTGTGTTTTAAGTTTTGAAGAGGTTTTCTAGTCATCTTTCCCATTTATCCTAGACTTCCAAAACAAACTAACAAACAAAATCTAGTAGCCAATTCATCACCTTGTGATTTCTTTGATTATATTTTCTGCATGAAATAACATGTAAATGTGATGTTTTCTGGCTTTCATTTATGATCTTGTCTCATTTTAGAAGACAAATGCAACTCTGGCATAATAATCTTACAGTCAGTCCTACCTCTCTAATATAGATAAGTGTCACTGTAATCAAAGATTTCACACACATATACACATAGGTCAAAAGAAATAGTAAATAATCCATAAATATGATCTCTTTGTAATTGAATAATGTATATGTGAGTTTACACGTGTCAGTTTCATGTTCTCTTTGGGTTCAGATTGTGTTCTATAGTTTGTTTATTTTCCAGAAAGAGACATTTTATCCAAAATTTAAAAATCATTCTTTTACTTATTTCGTATCTTATCGTTATACTAGGTGGTAAAATAAATATAAGGAGGCTTAAGACAGGATTCTGCCTATTTGAGCAAAAAGAACATATACACAGAGAGAAAAATAGTATACCAATCTGAATACTTTAAAAATAATTTCTCTGGAAGACCAACACATTTTAATAATGTGCTGTGCTATTTAATCCTTGTAAGAATGCTATGAGATGCTACTATCACAAAGAGATGATGCTCAGGGGTCTTACAGACATACTAGCTCTGATTTAAGACAAGTTATCTGTTTCAAACTCTGGTTTTCCAAGCAATACTTCTGCAAAGTATTAAGAGCAATAAATTATACTTGCAAATAAATATGCTTAGCACTGTGCTTTGTACAAAGAAAATAGTAGATCTTGAATTTGAACCCCCAAAAAGGAAAAATATCTTTACCATAAAGCGATGCATTAAGTCAAAATGCAGAACTTCTTTCCCAATGTTTGCCTCCAAAGCCTGTATCTCCTCTCTACATTATTCTGTGTCCCCATCCCCGGCCAAATGGGGTCACAGAAAACCTCTTTCTGATCCAATATCACATGCCTTATCATCTTCTAGTTCTTATACAAACATTAGGACACAAAAATCAAACGACTCAGAGAGACACAATGCCGCAAAGTGGAGCTGTCCCTGCCTGTGACTCTTCAGGAGTGCAAAGGGAAGTGGGTCGATGGTTTCAGGCTGCTGGTTCGCAGTCCAGCACGCCATCTGCTGTACCGCCAGGCCTTCAAAGCCATGACTAGAATTTTGGAAATATAAACCCATTACTGTTTTTGGCCACCATATATTTTGGAAATGAAAGAATCCCTCAGGTGTGGACATTTCCAGACCTTCAATGGTTGAATATCTCTTTCCACGGGTGCTCGTTTTCTTGAATTACAATGAATTGGAGTTGACTCCAATTGGAGTTGACCGAGTTTTTGAGAGAGAGAAAATGACCATTAATGCTTTAGAATAAAGTTAATATTAAACAAACATAGAGGCTGAATTTTGCTGAACAGACAATTTCAGAATGGACACACACTCATACTTTTCATTTCCACATTTTATAAAACATTATCGCTTATCTTATTAATGTAATTTCTTCACTTACTGCTATTAAATATAACACTGTTTTTGTTATTGTTTCTTGGTTTTCCACAGGTATGTTTCTGGCTGAGCTTATAGAAAAGTACTTTGTGTCCCCTACCCTGTTCCGAGTGATCCGCCTTGCCAGGATCGGCCGAATCCTGCGTCTGATCAAAGGGGCCAAGGGGATCCGCACCTTGCTCTTCGCTTTGATGATGTCCCTTCCCGCGCTGTTTAACATCGGCCTCCTGCTCTTCCTGGTCATGTTCATCTACGCCATCTTTGGGATGTCCAACTTTGCCTATGTTAAGAGGGAAGTTGGAATTGATGACATGTTCAACTTCGAGACCTTCGGCAACAGCATGATCTGCCTCTTCCAAATCACCACCTCTGCTGGCTGGGATGGCTTGCTGGCACCCATCCTGAATAGTGGGCCTCCTGACTGTGACCCTGATAAGGTTCACCCTGGGAGCTCAGTGAAGGGAGACTGCGGCAACCCATCGGTGGGGATTTTCTTCTTCGTCAGCTACATCATCATCTCCTTCCTGGTGGTGGTGAACATGTACATCGCTGTCATCCTGGAGAACTTCAGCGTGGCCACGGAGGAGAGTGCAGAGCCCCTGAGCGAGGACGACTTCGAGATGTTCTACGAGGTTTGGGAGAAGTTTGATCCTGACGCCACCCAGTTTATCGAGTTTGTCAAACTCTCAGATTTTGCTGCTGCCCTGGACCCGCCTCTTCTCATCGCCAAACCCAACAAAGTCCAGCTCATCGCCATGGACCTGCCCATGGTCAGCGGGGACCGGATCCACTGCCTCGACATCCTGTTTGCCTTCACAAAGCGGGTTCTGGGGGAGAGCGGGGAGATGGATGCCCTTCGGATACAGATGGAAGAGCGATTCATGGCATCGAATCCCTCCAAAGTCTCCTACGAGCCCATCACCACCACTCTGAAACGGAAACAAGAGGAGGTGTCCGCCATCGTGATCCAGAGGGCTTATAGACGCTACCTCTTGAAGCAGAAAATTAAAAAGGTTTCAAGTATATATAAGAAAGACAAAGGCAAGGAAGGCGAGGGAACGCCAATCAAAGAAGAAATCCTCAATGAAAAACTCAATGAGAATTCCACTCCGGAGAAAACCGATATGACACCTTCCACCACGTCGCCGCCCTCCTATGACAGTGTGACCAAGCCGGAAAAAGAAAAATTTGAAAAGGACAAATCCGAAAAGGAAGACAAAGGGAAAGATATCAGGGAAAGCAAAAAATAAAAAGAAACAGGGAAAATTCACTGAGTGATCAGTGGTTTACAGCCTGCGATGGTGATGTATGTATGTCAACAGGTTTCCCACAGGACGTCCATGCCAAACGGACTGTTTTTACAAATGTATACTTAAGGTCAGTGCCTATAACAAGACAGGGACCTCTGGTCAGCAAACTGGGACTCAACAAACCAGAGAAATAGCATCCACGGGAGATTGCTGTTTTCACAACCAGCTGACACTGCTGAAGAGCAGAGATGTAATGGCTACTCAGACTATGGGAACCAACTTAAAGGGGGGAGGGAAGTAAAATTTTTATGTAAACTCAACATGTGACACTTGATAATAGAAATTGTAACCACTGTCTGTGATTTAATTGCCACATCTGCCATATTTCTACAAAATGTGTGCTGTGAATTTATCACCTTTTAATTTTTAATTCACAGCTTGTTTACTATTATCTGTGACTATTTTTGTAAATGGGTTTATGTTTGGGGTGAGGGATCTGAGGGAGGGAATTCTGCATTTCTCTGTTGTATAACAGGGTGTGTTTTCAATGAGAGCATGCTGCATCTCTTGTTCACACATAACAAAAATCACATCACAAAAGGAGAGAACCACCTTCTTGTTCCAGGACGTTTTCAGATTTTTGAGGTGCTTAAATAGCTATTCCTATTTTTAAGGTGTCTCACCCAGAAAAATTTTAATGTGCCTGTACATGTTCCAGAGAGTTCACAACACTGAAGAGTTGTTTTATTTTTACATGATCCATTATATGTGCATGTATATATGTATGAATGTGTACAAACATATATCTGCATACACACATACTATCACATAGTCATTCTGAGTCCCGGCAGCGTGAATATAACACTTTTCATAAGTGTCCTTTGGCATATAATAAAAATATCCTACCAGTCCTTTCTAAAAAACCTGAATTGACCAAAAAAAAAAACCAACCCATCCCCACCACCACTTTACCACTTTATAAAGTTGATTCTGCTTTTTCCTGCAGTATTGTTTAGCCATCTTCTGCTCTTGGTAAGATTGACATAGTGTATGTCATGAAAAAAAAATCTGCTTTGTAAATAGTAATTTTACCCAGTGGTGCATGTTTGAGCAAACAAAATGATGAGTGAAGCACAGTATTTATTGCATCAAATATGTACCACAGTAAGTCTCATTTGCAAGCTTTCAACAGGTGACATGACGCTATTGGTTCCAGTATCGTTTGAAGCCGTCCCTGCTGCATGTTTCTCTTGCCTACGCTGCTGTGTTTCTTCCACTGTTCAAAAGTCCAATATGGGAAGCCATATGTCAGTGGTAAAGTAAAACAGATTCTTCAACTAAGACCTCATTCTTCATGTCATTAAGCAATAGGTTGCAGCAATCAATGAAGAGCTTCTCGCTTTTACTCCTTCCAACTTTAATTGAACACTCTTTGGCGAAGAGCCTGACTGTACAAACATGTTGCAAGCTGCTTAAATCTGTTGAAAATATACGCTTAGAGTTTTCTAAGAAAATATAAATACTGTACAAAGTTCACTTTATTTTCTTTTTCAGCCTTTTGTACATAAAATGAGAAATCTAAAGTATCTTCAGGGTGGTGTCACAGTCACTATTGTTAGTTTCTGTTGCTAGCACTTTTCAATTGAAGCACTTCACACACACACAAGAAGCACAGACAGCGACAGTAGGTTTCTGCATTTTTCCTAGTACTGTAAACTTGCACAAATTTCAATGTGAAAGGAATCTCAGACTGACTCCAGCGTTTATTGGCTTTCAAATAGTAATCCCTTGTCAGCAAAAGAGGTTTACAGAAGGATGAGTTGATATTCTAGGTATCATTTGAATTTGATGTTTCCACCTAGTCTTTTCAAATCAATAAATTATCGGTCTCTTCCAGTGTTTGTTCACAAAGATAGCTCTTTTCCTTACTGACTCGTATCATCCTACACCTGTACCACATATGACACAGGAGTCATGCTTTTTTGCCCCCTAACAAATCCAGGTAGCTAAATGATCTTACTAGTTACAGCAAACATGTGTTTCTTTCACAAGCAACATTAAATGTAGACTCTTTTTACTAAAGCTTTTGACTTGTAGTGTGTTGGTGAAATGCATGCCGGAAAATGCTATTTCCATAAAGAACAGTAATCCACATTACAACCAAGCCAAAAGAAGAGAGGTTTTGCTTTTGTTTTGGATTTAATTGTTCTGTCTTTGTTTTTATCTTTGAAATGCCTTCTGACGGTACATTCCTATCATGTACAAGTGATCTGAAATAATAAATGTAAAGAATACATATTAAAGATAATAATTCATCTTTATGATTTTTCAAGGAATGGAAATTAATTCAGAACTGTAATGAATATCGGCCAAAAACCTAGATATGGCATTGGGTAGAGTAGTGGAAAGCTACATAAACTAATAAAAAATTGACTAATACTTTCAGTTGTGCATCTTTTCTCCTTCCTGTCCATACATGTCTATTTTCTCCCTGTTTCTTCTCAGTCCTTTTCCTCTGCATTCTTGATCTACATTTTATATATTCTCTCCATTCTTTGAACTCTGGGAATATTTGTTTATTTAGAATATTTTCCTCCATTTGCTCATGTTCACCAAACATCTGTTTACTACAGACGACAAAGGCTCTGCATACTGGTTATTAGTTGCCGTTGGTTGATTCTGATTCATGGTGAATCTGATGCAAGTGTGCAGAGTGCAACTGAGTGTTCAAGGCAGTGCTCTATGGGAAGCAGATTGCTCTATCTGTCAAACTGCCAGCTTTCAGCTCGTAGTCTAATGCTCAACCATATATGTGCCACTCAGGGATGCCGGTAATTTACTGTCATGCTATAAAATCCATAAAGCATCTCTCTGTGTTCATTTCTACATGTTCCGTGCCAAAAATTTCTAAGTGAGCTTAGTTGTCAGCCCTGTAATAAATAATCTAATTCCCCCAGATGACACAGATTTGGTTATTCCATATAATTGTGAGCATGGAAGAGAAAGGTCCTCAAATCTCATTGCATATTAAAATTAATGAGACACTTTAAAAGGAAAATGCTAATGTATGGACCCAAACCAGACCAATTGAATTCATATCTCAGTATAAGACCTAAGTAACTGTATAAGGCTCCCCATTGAGGCCGATTCCTAGTGAGATTAAAAGTCAATGAGTTAAGGTCTACTTGTCCAATCAAAAAAGAATGTTCTACAGAAATTGCATATTATAAGAGTGAGACCCTGAAACCATTGGTTCAGAGATATTTTATCTTGAAACTTGAAGAACTTACATCAGTCCATTTCTATCCAGGGTTCCCTTCTTAGACTGCAGTTGGTGGAAATCAAATTATATCAGAACATTTTCCACACATACACACATACTACAACCTCTAAGCACCTCCAGCACATAATATGTGGGAAAAATACGAGGATGGTTTACAAAACAGTACTGATGTAATAGCTCCCCAGGTAAATCCTAGCATGATGATGGGTGAGAACCATTAATCCAGATGACTGGGACAGCTGTCAATGGTCAGCCATGCAACGTAAGTTCAAATATTCATTATCAAGTTCCAAATTTAGACAAGAGACCCTCCCATTGACAATTCTTAATGCACCTGTTATGATTGATTGATTTTCATGAAAGGAACAATTTAAAAGCTAAGAAAGGAGAAAAGTAAAGGAAAACGTAGAAAAGGGACATGAGGAAGAGAAGGAAGAAAACAAGAGACAGTAAAGGACGGGAGTAGAGTATGCAAAATAGGCGGGATTGCTTCACAAGGTATTTTAAGAAAACTTTTTTTACTGCTCACACCTACCCCAATGGGGGTAAGCAAAAGAAGTGTAAGGGAAAGAAAATTTGCTGTTAGAAATCTATGAAAGATGTAAATGTGATTCTCCTCTGAAACTTTAAAGAAAAATACCCACAACATATGCAGAGGGCATTATTCAAGTTGATCCAACTATTTCAGATCCATAGACAGTGATTGCCCCATTTTTTCATCTGGATTAAGTAAGCATTAAAATATAAGCCATGTACTCATTTTATGACAGCAACTGAAAGGTCAAGGATGAACACACATGCTCAGGGGAAGAGGTAGGCAACCTTAACAGGCATATTAAGGATTATCCAGGTGATTTTTACTGGTAATAAGGAGTAACTGATTCTTCTTCAGCGACAGAATGAGCAGTGAAATCAGATACATCTATTCCATTTAATCTGAGAGTTATATGGCTACATTGCCCATTAGTCTTTTACAAATATCTTATTTCCTGGTCTTTTTAATTTACACATTTATGTGTTCATATCTTTGAGTTTATATATATAATCTCTAGATACATATGAATGATTTTCTACCATTTCATTTCATTTCTAGCTCTCCAGTTTTGATTTTATTTCTCCCCCTTTCCGGCCCTCGCTGGCACTGGCACACTTTTTCCTTCTTCCCAACCCTGCTGGTTTAGAAGGTACACGTCCCTTTCCCTTTTTTTCTTCCATGTTTTCCTTCTTTTCTTGCCACATTTCCCCCTCTTTCCCTTCCTTACCTTTCCCTTTTTATCTATAATTAGTCTTATCTTGAACAAATATAATTAAGGGGACATATAATCAACATTTGTATCTTGATCTGAAATAATGAAGACCCCATCCCACTTTTAAAACACATTATTGAGTTAAAGGTGAAAGTTTACAAAGCAAGTTAGGTTTCCATTTAACAATTTTTGTACAAACCCTTCTGTGACAGCGGTTATATTTTTCACAATGTGTCCACATTCTCATTATTTCCATTCTGTTTGTTTTCATCTAACTTGCCTGCCATTGTTACTTTCCATGATCGTTTTAGTTGATTATTGAAGGGACACAGAATTCATGGGTAGTGGTTATTTATAAGCCCATCTATTGTTTGAAGAAAGACGAGCATGAGAAGGAGTGGCTTTGGTTCAAAGGGAATCGGGCAATCGTCCTGGGACTTCTCATTTTTATCCGTCTAGTAAGTCTGGCCTTTTTTAGGAATTGCATTTTGTTCTATATTTTCCCCTTTTCTATCCAGGACTTTCTACTGTGGGCCTCTTGCCAACCTCTTTGATGATTTTTTTCATGCTGTTTTGATTCTATCCTGATTGAAACCCACATGTTGGTTATTTTCTCAATTTTGCTTCTTAAAAAAGTCTTCATTGTGTATTATATTTAATCTGCTTTTGAAATATATCTGATTTGCTATTGATTCTGTGTTTGTATGCTTTATAGAAGCCCTTAATCAGATTAAAGAGAGTTCGTCTGGGTCCTCATATCCTAAGTGCATTGTTTGTTGTTTGTTTTAAATCATGCAGGTGTGAAGTAATTGTGTTCAACTTTTTTCTCATCTGTAGATAATCATGTTTTTCTTCTTCATTGTTATCAGGTGCCGCTGAGTCTGTTCTGACTCATAGCAGCCCTGTGTACAACAGAACCCAACAAGGCCCTGTCTGGAGCCATCCGCACAAGGTGTATGACATTCAAGGGCATTGTTGCTGGGCAGCGCCTGTTATCAATCCAGGAATGTCTCCATTTCAAATATAAGCATGAATTTTTGATATTATTTCTTGAGGACTTCCTCTTTTTGCTGCCCCTCCACTTTACCAAGAATGATATCCTTATCCAGGAACTTGTCTCTCCTTTATTCCATTTACTTAGTTATTTTTAATTTTCTTTCTTCTTTCTTTGTATTAAGTGGCCTGGTGCTGCAGTGGTTAAAGTGCTCAGCTGCTAACTAAAGTTTGGTGGTTAGAACTAACTAGTCTGTTTAATTAGAGATTTACTGTCTTTAAAGACCTTAAGGGGCAGTTCTACTCTGCCCTATCGGGCCCCAAGAGTCAATTGACTGAACCACTGTGCGTTTGGTCTGTTTTATTTATTCTGCCATTATGGTAAGCAACATTGGCAGATTTTAGAATATTGGTCCTAATTGCTATTGAACTTGAATCCAATTTAAAATTTTGCATTATACATTTCATACAATGCTATTTGTTCTGGTAATATTTTATTTATCTTGTGCTTATGTTTATCTTTTAAAATCTATACTTGTAAAAAAGATAAATTTATAATTATTTTTGTAATGTGCTTACTATTTTTTATGTCAAGTTTACGCTAACTTGTTGGGGATGGTTTCTTCCTTTTCCGTTTTCTAGTACAGATTAATTGAGATTGGTGATATTTTCTTTACCTATTTAGAATAATTAATCAGTAAAGGTATTTGAGCCTGGGCGGGTTTTTTAAGCCTACGATTTAAGGTATGATTTATTCTATTCACATTTTTGTGTTTTCGTCTTCTTTTCTGTGTTTTGTTTTGGTAACATGCTTTTGTTTTTCTAGGAATGTCTCCATTTCAAATATAAGCATGAAATTTTGATATTATGATTTTAATTTTGCAAGCTCTGTCCCTTTTCTAAGTACAGAGACTGGTACTTTGTTTCTTCTCTCTTTTTACACAGTCTTTCAGATCACCAACAAGTTTGGGCCTTTTGAAAATGTTTTACTGTGTATTCTTTTTCATTTAATTTTACTTCTTTTTAAAATATATTTATCATTGTCTTCCTTCTATTTTCTTTGCCTTTAATGTACTTTACTTCCCCTCCAGATTCTTGAAAAGACTCATTGATTTCAGTCTTTATTCATGTTTTAATATATTTGAAAACAAATGCAATTTTCATTCTTGGTATGTTATTAGTTGCATTCCACACATGTTTATGTATTTTATATTCATTTCTATTTTGTCGTAAACATGCTGATTTCTACTATGACTGATTCTGGTCCTATTATATATTGAGAAGAAAACCAACCAAAGCAAACCCACTACTATTGAGTAGATTGATTTATAGCAACCCTATAGAGAGTTTCTCAGCCCATAAATCTACTGGAGTAGTATCCCTTAGCGACTGGGGCCTCACTGGTGGGCTTGAACAAATGACATTGTGGTCTGTAGGCTAACACTCTCCTAACAGTGCCACCAGGATTCCCTATCTTTAGAAGAGTACCACTTAATTTCTAAATAATTGAAGGTTTTCAATATATATCTTTTATGATTTCTAATTTTACTTCTCCATATTTGTAGAGCATTGTGGCAAAATTTAAATCATTTAACATTTTAGGAAATGCCTTTGTAGCTCATCCTCAATCAACTCTGGTATATATTTCATGTCCGCTTAAAAGAAAGGGCATTACGCAATTGTTAGGTGCAATGTTCAATATATGTTAATGAGGTCAAGTTTGTTAATCATGATATCAAATATCCTAAGTCTTTATTGACCTTGTGGGAACTTTTATTTTCTCTTCTGTTTTTTCATCAGGAGTGTTAAAGATTGAATTGTAACTTTGTCCCCCCAAACGTGTGTTGAAATCCTAACCCTTATATCTATGAATGCAACTCTCATTGGAAATAGTCTCTTTGATGTGTTAATTAGGT